TTGAGCCGGACGCTTGAAAGTTGCATTTTTTTTTCAGTTTTTGGCGATCGAATTTCATTTCGTGCGAAAAGGTTGCGCGGGACGCTTGAAAATCGCAATTTTACGTCAGTTTTTGGCGATCGAACTGCATTTCGTGCGAAAGGGTTGCGACCGGACCCGTGAAATCGCAATTTTGCGTCAGTTTTTGGCGATCTTCATTTCGCGCGATAGGGTTGCGCCGGACGCTTGAAAGTTGCATTTTTTTTCAGTTTTTGGCGATCGAATTTCATTTCGTGCGAAAAGGTTGCGCGGGACGCTTGAAAATCGCAATTTTACGTCAGTTTTTGGCGATCGAACTGCATTTCGTGCGAAAGGGTTGCGCCGGAAGCGTGCAAATCGCAATCTTACGTCAGTTTTTGGCAATCGAGCCTCGTTTCGTGCGAAAGGGTTGCATTTCGTGCCGTCTCGTTGGCACCGCCCCGCGCTTTCGGAGAGAAATAGAAAAGAAGGAGAGAGCAAGAGGGTAAGAGAGCTTAACGCTGAGTTTGGCAGTAAACACCATTTTAGATTGGTGCAAGAGGATTAAAAGTGACCGGGGAAAAGAGAGCAAGAGGGCAAGAGATCAAGAGGGCAAGAGAGCAAGAGGGCAAGAGAGAATGTGAAGATGTGAAGATGTGAAGAGGAGAAGATGTGAAGATGTGAAGACGAGAAGATGAGAAGATGAGCAGATGTGAAGATGAGAAGATGTGAAGATGTGAGGATGTGAAGATGTCAGGATGTGAGAATGTGAGGATGTGAAGATGAGAAGATGTGAAGATGAGAAGATGTGAAGGATGTGAAGATGAGAAGGTGTGAAGATGAGAAAATGTGAAGATGAGGATGTGAGTATAAGAAAATGTGAAGATGAGAAAATGAGAAGATGTGAAGATGAGAAGATGTGAAGATGAGAAGATGTGAGGATTTGAAGATGTTATGTGAAGATGTGAAGATGTGAAAATGTTTGACAGACCCCCGCTATTAGAAGAACCCTTCGCTCAGAAGCTCTGTGGAAAAAACAAACAAAACTCCAAAACTTGTCTTTGGACCCAAAATCACAACTAGGCACCGTAACCACGGCAGAAGCTCAAAAGTTCCAACATGGTTCCAGTTCCAGTGGGGTTCCTGCAGCATTCCAGCAAGATTCCAGCAAGACTCCAGCAAGGTTCCAGGACTGCACGGTTCCAGCATGGTTCCTGGAAGGTTCCAGCAAGGTTCCAGGACTGTTCCGTTTTTTCGGGGTGTGCATTTTCCTGTCGCCACTCCCCGGCCCCAGAGATTGAAACCCAACAGATTCGCTGTTGGGAGTTTTGTTTTCGAGAGGATGATACAAACATTGCCTTGGCTTGCTAAGATTAAGAACATGACTTGGAAAGAACATTAGATTCATTACATCAACCACAAAAAAAATCACGCAGAGTCGCATTGGCGATGTGATTGCTTGGCCAAGTGCTTGCCCTTTTTTCTATTCACACTAGGTCAGGTTACGCATCACTACTACGACGACGACGACGGCGACGTCGACGACGACGACAACGACGACGACGACGACAACAACAACAACCACTGCCACTACTACTACTACGACTACGACGACGACGACTACTACTACTACTACTACTACTCCTACTCCTGCTCCTACTACTACTACTACTCCTCCTACTACTCCTCCTACTCCTCCTACTCCTACACCTCCTGCTACTACCACTACCACTACCACTACCACTACCACTACCACTACCACTACCACTACTACTACTACAACTACTACTACTACTGCTACTACTACTACTACTACTACTCCTACTCCTACTCCTACTCCTACTCCTACTCCTACTCCTGCTTCTACTACTACTACTACTCCTACTCCTCCTACTCCTACTCCTCCTGCTACTACCACTACCACTACCACTACCACTACTACTACTACTCCTACTACTACTCCTACTCCTACTCCTACTCCCACTCCTGCTCCTACTACTACGACTACTACGACTACTACGACTACTACGACTACTAGTCCTCCTACTCCTGCTCCTCCTACTCCTCCTACTCCTACACCTCCTACACCTCCTACACCTCCTACACCTCCACCTCCTGCACCTCCACCTCCTGCACCTCCTGCACCTCCTGCACCTCCTGCACCTCCTGCACCTCCTGCACCTCCTGCACCTCCTGCACCTCCTGCACCTCCTGCACCTCCACCTCCTGCACCTCCTGCACCTCCACTACTACTACTACTACTACGACTACTACTACTACTACTCCTGCTACTACTACTTCTACTTCTACTTCTACTGCTACTACTACTACTACTCCTACTACTGCTACTGCTGCTACTACTACTACTACTACTACTACCACTACTACCACTACTACTACTACTACTACTCCTCCTGCTGCTGCTGCTGCTACTGCTACTGCTACTGCTGCTGCTACTAAAGCATAGGTCTCACATTTTTTGTCTTTCACCAAATGGAGAAAGAAGCATTCGTAAACCCACTGATGTTTGCAATGTTTGCATTTGATCAGAGGTACTGCGTATGCATTTTTGTGCACTCGTGAATCTCTGTACAGAATTAGACGTATACTCCTATACCCTATACGCTTGAGTTTGCCTGGTTTGGCCATTTGGCCATGTCTTGCTCCAAGGAAGGGTGGACTCACATTAAACCCCAACTTCATCCTTGACTTCGGTAAAGAACCAGATGGCCCTGTCTTGTACCTTGTTTGAGCGAGGAAAAGCTGTGAGGGCTCTGAGCATTGAGAGCGCATAGCAAATCGTATGGATTGCAATGACAGAATATTACTAAAATTCAATACATATTCACTACATTTCGAAAACATATTTAATACATATTCAATACATATTCAACACATATTCAATACAAATTCAATACGTACTCAATACATATTCGATGCATACTCAATACATACCCAATAGTATTCAATACATACTCAATACATATTCCACACATATTCAATACATATTCCATACATACTCAATGTATTCATCATTACATGTTGAATGCATATTCAGTACATACCCAAGACATATTTATTACATATTCCATACATACTCAATGTATTCAATACATACTCAATACGTATTCAATACATACTCAATACATATTTATCACATACTCAATGCATATTCAATACATATTCATTACATTTTGAATACATACTCAATACATATTCATTACATTTGCAATACACACTAAATACATACTTAGTACACATTCAATACATATTCAATACATATTCATTGCATATTCATTACATTTCGAATACATTTTCAAGACAAACTCAATACATTTGCAATACACACTTAATTTTTCACTTAGTACGCATTCAATACATATTCAATACATTTTCAATACATATTCAATACATTTCCAGCACATATTCAATACATACTCGATACATACGCAATACATACTCAGTACATACTCAGTACATACATTTAAGACATATTTAATACAAAAACAGTTCAGTATATATTCAATGCGTATCCAATACATCTTCAATACATATTCAATACATATTTAATACTTAGTCCATACTTATTTGGTTTATATCCATAGATATTCAAAACATATTCAATTTATCCCCAATAGAAATTGAATAGATATTCAGTTGATTTTCAATAGATGTTTAATAGATACTCAATTGATATTCAACAGATATTCAATTTATATTCAATGGAGACCCATTAGATATTCAATAGATGTTGGATAGATATTCAATGGATATTCACTAGATAGTCAGTAGATAATATATATATACACATACATATTCAATAGATACTCAGTTTACTCAGCAGATATTCAATAGATATTTCATAGATATTCAACACATATTCAACACATACCCAGCACATATTCAATATATATTCAAGACATATTCAATACATACTTGATACATACTCGATACATACTCGATACATATTCAATACATGCTCAATACATTTTCAGTACATACATTTAATACGTATTCAATACATAGTCAACACATACTCCATACATATTCTATTCAATCGATATCCAATAGATTTTCAATACATATTCAAACAAATTCCATGCATATTGCATATGTATCCCAGACATACTCAGCACATATTCAATACATATCACAATGCGGTGTTGAATCTGAGGTGCCACGAAATGCGATTTCCCGGAGGAGATTGCACTAGCGACATCTTCCTCTGAGAAGCTGACCGGATTTGAACGTGTTTGGCGTCTTTGACGGTCATATATTCCGATTGGTGTGCGCTTACACACAAGGTGTACCGCAGCCAACGGCCTGTTTTCCAGAGCTTCTCTACTATATTACTCCGGTCCATCCGTAGACCTTCAAACCATTGCAACCTGATGGGTGGTTTCAATCCATTCGTCGATACAGTCACAATCGTTGCACAGTGGTTGTCAGTTTTAATGTGTATCAACAAGACACACACACAGATCCGACAATGCCAGGTGCAAAAATGGTCGTTGTGCTCCGTTCACGAAAATCCATCATTGATTTAAGACATATTCAAGAGTTTCCCTGTGGTTTGATTTGAAGCGATCCAAGATAACGCATTTCTTCATTCGAATTTTCCACCGGTACATAAGATTTTGCATCCTCAGTACACACAGATGCAAACGGTGAAACAGGAGAGGCAAACACAACACAAGGTGCAAGACAAACATCTCTGAGATGTCATCGTCCAGGCAGAGCCCAAAAAGAAATCAGCGCTGGAGCCACAACGATGTTTTGGATTTGGAAAAGATTGGAAGCTAACATGGCCTCATTCTGTATTCAAGAAACGTCACGGGGAATGTAGGACCCCAAGGTGAAAACAGATTGAGCCGAGTGGATTTTATCCATTTCTTCCCATTTTTCTTCCTTCTTTGGTTCCTAGACTGTTTGGATTACGAGCTATGAAAAGCGAGTGACCGCCGGCGCCTTTGTCTAGCGGCCTACCGCCGCCCATGTTTTAGGCCTTCAAGCGCAGCGGCAGAGAGCAGCAAGGTTAGGAGATGTGGGGAGCAGCAATGGAAGTGAATGGAAGTGAAGTGAAGCGAATAGAAGTGAATTGCTCATTGTGAATTCATTGTGACAGAGTCCGTTTTATAATCGATGCTCAAAGTTCAGAACGCGTGAGAGCCGGTGTAACTACTTGAGTACTGTAGTCATGTGATGCCATTGAGACTTGTGCTGTCAAGAGCAGATGGCTGTGAGAAAGTCCTCACGTTGGGTGTCACTGTGTCCTTTTGCGGCTGAGACTCTAAGTCCTGTTTTGGTGTCATAAGAGCAGGAACAGCTGAGATCAGTGTGCTTCTTGTAAGCTTGGGAGAAGACACCGCAAACTAACCCTCCCCTTGCCAGCTCAGTCAATGTCTCAACAGCTGTGACGGTCTGGAGGTTGAAGCTGAAGGGAGCCAAACAGAAAGTCTTGCTTTGGATGACCTGAAGCAGAAGGTGGTGATTTTAGAACCTCGCATTTCTTCTTTGTGCTAGTATTCAGCTGCCATCAGAGATGCAATAGGATGCTGCTCAGCACAGAAACAGTCTGTACCTTCTTGGTGCTCTTGTAGGGCTTGGAGTGTCTAGTGAACGCACCTGTACGTTTTTCCAGCAGGAATTACGTAGAAATGGCGAGATCATGTGGAAACATGTTTATAGAACGATGTACATTTGTGCAACGTTTTTCCCAATCAGTTTGTCAGACATTTCCTTTGAGAAGAAACTGGATGAACATGCACCACCAGCTGCGGCAGCAGCAAGACGAGCCTCTGCTGCAGTTGCAGCAGGCTGGTGACTGGAGCCATGGCCACACGCCACAGGTGGCGGACTCTCTGGTGTGCGACACACCAGTACCAATCCGCGTCGTTCTGCTAAACCAACCTGCAGGTAATCCTCTGCCAACTGGTGCTGCTCCTGCTGTGGCTGACACCAGACCAGCACCGACCCAACCGGGACTGACACAGTACTTTCACCCGCCGGCCGCGCACAAGGAATGGCGAGTGGAAGTGGCTGCACCTATGGAGACAGCAGCAGGGTCAGACCAGAGCCGCACCAGAAGCCGTTCCCTGGGACGGGAGCTCAAACGAGCCTCTGCAGCTGCGGAGGAAGACGCCGTCCCTGGTGCCAGCACGGTACCATATGAAAGGCCCGTAGTGCAGCAGCACATGCGACAAGATGCTGTGGTGGCCAGCATGTTCCTTCAGCCAGGGCACTGATGGGAATGCTGGCAGAGAGCAAGAGGCAGCGGGCTCACACTGCAGAAGTTGCCTGTGGACAGCTGCAGCAGCTTCAGAATGAGAAAGCCATGGCCATGGAACAGGCGTTCCTCTCGGAGAAGGCCAGAGCTGACGCTGCAGAGCGGCATGCTGCTGAGATGAGACGTGTAGTTCATGTGCTCAAGGACCATGTGCTCAAGGAACAAGCAAGTTCTTCCACAAGACCTGTCTTCAGCACAGACCTGAAAGAGCACAGAGCTGCTAGGGACCAGGCTGCACCGGCAGCAGGCCGCAAGAAGCAGCAGCAACACCAAACCGGAGCAGCTTCCAGAAAGGCTTTGAGTTATCTGGGTAGGAGCGACTCCAGAGCTAGATACACAACAAGCCAGGTATGCCTGCCTGTATGCATCTTGGCAGCATTGGAAGGTGAGAAATTGGTGACTTTTTCGTGGTTTTCACGACAGGAGCACTCTTCACCAGTCGAGTTTTTGCCGAGAGGGTCAAAGGACGGATGCAATGATCCAGAACTAATGGAGTGCCGAATGCTTTGTGGCATCATTTTCTGGAGGGAGAATGCTTCAGAAGAACCTCCTGCGCCTACTTCGTAGTCTTTGGGATGGAGCTGGGTAAGAGTGGCTGGATCTCCGAAACAGCCTACCCAAGTGTACTTTCCCTGCGACAGTTGTCTTTGAACGACACCCCCCAGCTGGCCTAACCGGAGCTCAGAAAGCTTCAGACGCACCATCGGTTGTCCGACGATGACCGTGCGACCTTGGCAGCACGTCTATGGGAAGTATGGCCTTGTAGAGAACAACCGCCAACCGACGAAGAACTCCATGAGATCTGGCCTCATGGTGATGCTTTGACTCTGGCCAAGAAGGCGCGTTTTTTTTGGGTGGGCATGTGCTCGCAAGTCCTGAATCATAATCATTTTCTTAATCCATGCATTTCTGAATCCATTTTGTTAATCCTCCTGGTCCCCTCTGCGGCTTTTCGCGTCACAGAGACTTCGGTCGGCTTCAATCCCTCCCATCTTCGATCAGAGCCGACAAATCCCTCATGGCTCTCAGCCGTTTCGCGCCTGCGAGGTGCTTCGGCGAGATTGATACGCTTTACCTGCGCCACATGGAAGTGCAGGACTTCACAGAACAAGAATGCACGGATCATGGACGGATGCTTGACCAGGCTCAAGAGTATAACTTACCATTTCCCACAACTAGTGCCACTGTATACCATTATATCACAATGTCTACCATTGGACATATATTGGATGAGTTGCATCAAATCACCAACCTGAAAATAGGTGAAACTTGCGGCCGCAGGCTGCCCTATGCCTGCAAACTCATGGAGATCGGACCTTCCTTGGACTGACTATGCATATACGCCTGCAAACGTGCGGTGAAGCTGCTGAATGAGATCGGACCATGCAAGATCGAGCAGATGGGGTTCATTCATCTGTTGATCTTCGAGAAAAAGCGAGAGGGAACTTCTTCAAGAGAAGAAATCTGCAGCAGCTGCTGAAGTTGGGCTCCACAGGCCTTCACTTGGTGCTTCGGGCAAGGTTATCACGGCTGAAGGCATACCGCAAGGAATTTGCCAATCAGTGGGAGCTGGTCTAGGTGGTAGCTCTCATGTTGCTATCCACGACGGAAAAAAAACGTCAGCAAGAGATTATACGGATGACGCTCAGCAATGCAGCGCATAAAGCGGAAAAAAAGATCCATTGCAAGGAGAATGCTGGAGGGAGAAACAGATTGCCTGTCACATTCCATCACATTCCACTTTCAACCGCTGTTGCAATTTCGATTGTGTAGGGGTGGTTGGTTTACAGATATGAAGATGTTTCACATGCCATCGGTGTGTTCTTGGAACAGAACCGTTTCTAGACTAGGGACACTAGGGCCTTGTTGTGGTTGCTTTCAATCCGCAGTTTGGGAAATCCTACGCCACCCTTACAACAAAGTCAGGCAGACGTGAATCATATTCGATGTATATCCGTCCTTTTTTTCCATCCTATGTTTTGTATTTCTACCTGGAACCTGCCCCTTTTTCGGTACAACAGTGGCTGAGGATTTTATTCCCAGTGCCTTGGGTCGCCAAAGTGATGCAACTCACATGTGTCGTGCGAACTTTATTGCTACGTGTGCCAGGTGAAAACCTTGACAGAGGCCTTGTCTGCCCTAGAAGACTCCCAGGGAGGCTTGGCGGATGAGGCGTGGCCACTTGAAACGCGTGGAAAGTCGCAGTGGACATTAGTGGCGTCAGCCTAGCGGCCTAGCGCAGGGAAACTTCCACATGTCAAAGTTGTGCACTGTGAACTTGGGAACAAAATTTGCTTGTCTAGAGTCCTGGCACGCCTTGAAATGTCACTTTGCTCGCAAGAAAAAATAATAACTAGACGACGGATGGCCCGAGAGCGTAGAGGAGCAGAGTCTTCTGTTGTTAGTATGGAGACACGCTTTTTACACACAGGCTCTTTTACACACAGGCTCTTTTACACACAGACACTTTTACACACAGACGCTTTTACACACAGACACTTTTACACACAGACGCTTTTTACACACAGACGCTTTTTACACACAGACACATTTGACACACAAACACATTTACACACAGAGGCTTTTACACACAAACACTTTTACACACAGACGCTTTTACACACAGACGCTTTTACACACAGACGCTTTTACACACAACACTTTCACACACAGAGGCTTTTACACACAGAAGCTTTTACACACAGAGGCTTTTATACACAGAAGCTTTTACACACAGAGGCTTTTACACACAGAAGCTTTTACACACAGACGCTTTTACACACAGACGCTTTTACACACAGACGCTTTTTACACACAGACGCTTTTACACACAGACGCTTTGACACACAGACGCTTTTACACACAGACGCTTTTACACACAGAGACTTTTACACACAGAGACGCTTTTACACACAGAAGCTTTTACACACAGACGCTTTTACACACAGACACTTTTACACACAGACGCTTTTACACACAGAAGCTTTTACACACAGACGTTTTTTCCCACAGACGCTTTACACACAGACGCTTCTACACACAGACGCGTTTACACCCAGACCCTTTTACACACAAAAGCTTTTACACACAGACGCTTTTTACACACAGACGCTTTTACACACAATCACTTTTACACACAGACACTTTTACACACAGACGCTTTTACACACAGACACTTTTACACACAGACGCTTTTACACACAGACGCTTTTACACACAGACGCTTTTACACACAGACGCTTTTATACACACAGACGCTTTTACACACAGACGCTTTTACACACAGACGCTTTTACACACAGACGCTTTTTACACACAGACGCTTTTACACACAGACGCTTTTACACACAGAGCTTTTACACACAGACGCTTTTACACACAGACGCTTTTACACACAGACGCTTTTACACACAGACGCTTTTACACACAGACGCTTGACACACAGATGCTTGACACACAAACACATTACACACAGAGGCTTTTACGCAATTTTACCACAGTTTTTGCCGATCGACCCTCATTTCGTGCGAAAGGGTTGCTCCAGGGCAAGTCAAATCGCAATTTTACCTCAGTTTTTGCCGATCGACCCTCATTTCGTGCGAAAGGGTTGCTCCGGCACAAGTCAAATCGCAACTTTACCTCAGTTTTTGCCGATCGACCCTCATTTCGTGCGAAAGGCTTGCTCCGGCACACGAAAAATCGCAACTTTGTTTTTGCCGATCGACCCTCATTTCGTGCGAAAGGGTTGCTCCAGGACAAGTAAAATCGCAATTTTTCCTCAGTTTTTGCCGATCGACCCTCATTTCGTGCGAAAGGGTTGCTCCGGCACAAGTCAAATCGCAACTTTACCTCAGTTTTTGCCGATCGACCCTCATTTCGTGCGAAAGGGTTGCTCCAGGACAAGTCAAATCGCAATTTTACCTCAGTTTTTGCCGATCGACCCTCATTTCGTGCGAAAGGGTTGGCGTTTCGTGACTCACCGCCGGTACCACCCTCGGCCTAAAGAGAGAAAGATAAAGAAGGCGAGAGAGAGAAAAAGGAGAGAGAAAGGAGAGAGAGAAGATGTGAGTATGTGAAGATGTGAGCGTGAGAGAGAGAAAAAGGCGAGAGAGAAGATGTGAGTATGTGAAGATGTGAGCGTGAGAGAGAGAAAACTAGACGACGGTTGGCCCGAGAGCGAAAAAGATGTTTTTCAAGCAGCTCTGAGGATGGTAGTCGTAAAAGATAGTCGGTGAATAGTTGGTGAATTTTATATGAACTATGGAAAGATATGGTGTGAAAAAGTAAGATTGATCAAGAAGAGAATATTTGGTAAAGGGCATCAGATGACATGTGTCTTGCAACCACAGAGAGAAAGAGGGGGCAGAGATAAAGAGAGAGAGAGAGAGAGAGAGAGAAAGAGAGAGAGAGAGAGAGAGAGAGAAAGAGAAAGCAAGAGAGAGAGAGAATGAAAGGGGGGGGGGTAGAAAGAAAACATGAAGAAATGTAATGTGAGCAACAAAAGTGCACAGGAGGCTCAGTGCCATGAGTCTGCGAATGACATGTGCTATCTCATTTTATTATGGTAATTCCCACACACATTGCGGAAAAAGGCGCGGCACCATCATTCCGTGAACGCGAAGAAACGCGACGCTTTTATACAGAGACGCTTTTACACACAGAATCTTTTACACATAAACACTTTTACACACAGACGCTTTCACACAGAGACGTTTTTCATGCACACACACAAAGACGCATTTCCACACAGAGACTTTTACACGAAAACGCTTTAACACACAGACGCTTTTATACACAGACTCTTTTACACACATACACTTTTACATGCAGATGCCTTTTTACAGACGCACACACACTTTCACACACAAACGCTTTTACACACAGACGCTTTTGCACACAGACACAGACGCTTTTCCACACAGACCCTTTTACACACAGACGCTTTTACACACAAACACTTTACACACATACGCTTTTACACACGGACGCTTTTACACGCAAACACTTTTACATACAGGCGCTTTTACACACAGACGCTTTTACACTCAGACACTTTTACACACAGACGCTTTTCCACACAGACTTTCACACACAGACGCTCACAAAGCGCGGCACCACTGGGTGACCTCAGTTGCAAACAAAGGTGCGCAAACATAGTTGCAATGGAAATGCCAAAAAATCGCAAAAGTGCACAAGACCAGGCTCAGTACCATGATCAACGCACAATCCAATGCAAGGCATCCGCTCTTTGAGATACAAAATAAGCTCGGCACCATGATGCCGTGGATGACCTCAGTTGCAAACACAGGTGGGCAAACAAAGGCTCCGTACCATGGCATCCAAGAGAATCTAGAAGTCCGTGCAAGAATGCTGTGAATGATTCCACAATAGCAAGTTCGATATCATGATGGCAAGGATGACACCTGTTTCACTGCATTTCTCCGATGTCCCTACAGGATGGAAAAAATCTTTACAGACAAACAACAGTTGGCTACTGGTTTTGCATGTTCGTCACGAACAGTCTCTCCAGACGAACACTGCTACAGATTAATTTTGCACCAGGGCATCGAAGAAATCATCTGCGCAGCTGCAAACACAGATGGTGGTGCCTGCCTCCTGCCAAAACAACTGGCCAACCAGCTTTTACCAGATAGTGTCCGGTTTCTGGTTGCAAAGAATATTTTGGAGCCAATTCAGCGCTCCCAGGCACAAATGAAAGAATGTGTCGTAGAATTTGTTCATCAAAGACATCCGCCCTTGCACGGATTCCGGATGCATTCCCTCCACGGTCTTTCTGGCAGAACACACTTACATATCCAAATACTTTATGCGACATGTTTGTGCACCAAAATTTTGTTTGTTGTTAACTGCTGTCATGTCCAACGATGTGGGCGCTGCCGCCGAGTATCTTTCAACACCAAGACCCATAATCGGTTGGCATCATCTCTTGCTTCTTCATTTGAAAACAGAATGTAATACAATGTGAAATCGAGCATGAGCTCGTGCATCCAAGCTAGTGGCAAATGGCCCCAGAAATGGCGGCCCATTTCCGGAGGGCCGTTCATGTGCACTTGATCGTAGATGTACAATTCTCTCGAACCGGCGTCCTTCCAGTCATGAATAGATACCAACAGCGCATCGTTCAAATCAACTGAATTTGTTTGAAACGAAGTATATTGCAATCTCCCCGCAGCTGCAAAGCAATCGGCTGCCAGGCGCGACATGCTGTTAGTACAGGCTACAGAAGTATTAATTGAAAGCGACAGGTTTCGATATGTCCACTACAGCTTCACCTACAAACGTCACATCTCTTGTGGCGAAACGCATCTTGTCCATTCGTTCACATCTGAGCCAAGGAATGTACAACGCACAATCCAATGCGAAGCATCTGCTCTTTCATTTCGAAACTGAAAACACGACTCCTGAGTTTGACATACCGAATAAGCTCTCTACCATGATGCCGTGGATGACCTCAGTTGCAAACAAAGGTGCGCAAACATAGTTGCAATGGAAATGCTTCAAAATTGCAAAAGTGCACAAACAAAGGCTCAGTACCATGGTATCCAAAAAACAACAAGTGAACGCAGTGAATGATTCCACAATAACAAGTTCGATATCATGATGGCATGGATGACACCTGTTTCACTGCATTTCTCCGATGTCCCTACAGGATCGAACAATCTTTACAGACAAACAACACCTGGCTACTGATTTAGCACGTTTGCCACGAACAGTTTCTCCAGGCGAACAGTGGTGCACATTAATTTGTGAGCGCAGTGAATGATTCCACAAAAACAAGTTCGATATCATGATGGCATGGATGGCACCTGTTTCACTGCATTTCTCCGATGTCTCTACAGGATCGAACAATCTTTACAGACTAACAACACTTGGCTACTGATTTAGCACGTTCGCCACGAACAGTCTCTCCAGGCGAACAGTGGTGCAAATTAATTTCTGCCCGCCGCACTCAGTTCCATGTGCCACTTGGCCCGCAAACCTTCCAGCTGCCACAAGGCCTCCAAGACATAGGGGCGATTGTGCCAAGGGCGCAAGGCAGGTCTTTTCTCAAGCAGCAACTGGACGGCATCCTCTGCAGAGTAGTTGTAACCCACGACGAGCCAAGCACATAAAACCCCAGCGCTTCGATTGATGCCTCCAAAGCAATGGAA